GCTCCAGCACAGGCAGCCAGAAAGACCAAGGGTTTGCCGGCCCCCCCCCCCCCTTGCTTCCAGCAGCAACACAAAACCAAAGCACCTCAGCTTATTTCAGTCAGGGCTGGGTACACATGGCTCCAATTGCTGGTGACGGGAAGGGGGACCTCAGCCGCGGGGAGGAGGGAGGGCTGTGTAACGCACCCAGCCACCCCGGAGCTGGCAAGGGCAGCTCCTTGTCCCCAGGTGCTCCCTGCTCACCCTCTGCAGCAGAGGGCATCCCATGTTAGGGGCTTTTCCTTCCATTTTCTCAGCCCATTGCTCCTCTCCGCTGCCCTAGACATGCTCACGTCAGCCCTGCGGGAGGAAATCTGGGATTTCATTGCTTTCCGTAGCCTTTCCATTGCTGCCTGGGGTCCAGCAGCCCCCCAGCCCCCAACCCACTGCAAGCACTTGTGTTTTTCAGTCCTTTCCAATCTTTCCGCTTGCTCAGCCGTGACTAATTTTCTCCATAGCTTGCAAGCAAGGTGCATGGTGAAGGAAAGAGAAATAGCTCCTAGCATGGCTTTGGCCTTTTCAAACCCTGCGTTGAGCTGCGAAACAGCAAAGGAGCTCCTTGAGTGACCATCTTGCCCCTGTCTGATGGGGGGGAGAGGCTTGAAATGTCCCCAGAACTGGTCCATTGGAAATGCATCCTCGATTTTTTTCAGCTGCTATTTGTGCTTGCGTCTGCTCTTGGAAACCAATCTGACTTTTTTTCAGGGCCATTTGATTTGCTCAGTTGAAACTGTCTTAAAATAGGGGGAAAAATGCCAATAAAGTATACACCAAAAAAACCTGAACAGTGGAAGACGTAGCAGCAGGAAGAAGAAAAAACATGCAATTCTCTTTCCCCAAGGTCTAGAAAGAGCAGTATTTCCTCTGAATAAACCACCTTGTGGGCCCTGAGAAAGCAACCACAGGGCAGGCTGGTCCTGTTGCAGATGTGGCCACCAGCTGTGGCCACTGTGGACCGTGGTGGCTTGGTGGCTCTGTACCCGGCACCGTGGGAGACCTGGCTTGCTGGGGGCCACTGGGAATTGGGAATTGCAACAGGTAATGACTTCTAGGGGGACAAGCTTCATGCTGTCCCTCCTCATGCCACTGGCATGATAACCTTCCAGTGTATGGGGCAGGTGAGACTTTCAAACCTGGCCCAGATGCTCCGAGTGCCCCTGGTCCAGAAGGGATGCCCAGGTATGGCTGGGGGACATGCAAGGCTGTGGTTGCAGCAGGCTCCACTGGACAGGCTGCTTCATCAAAAGCTGTAAATCCCATTTTCCAGAGCACCAGAAACACTTATTTGGCCAACTGGGCACAGTAAAGCAGCTGTGGGCATCTTTGAGGTGAAGTCCTAACCCACGAGGTCCCCGTGGATGTCCCCTGCCTTGGTGACACAGGATGTTTGTGGGATTTGGGGCTGTCCACAGGAGGGGATTCAGCTGGTACTATGGCATGAGCTTGCCCTGGTCCATGTTATGCTGTGCTGGTGGTGCACTGAAGCGGAGATGGGTGCCTTGGGCTCACCACCATACAAGGGGGAGGCTGGAGTTGGCTGCCTGGACACCATGGGCTGCCACCTACCTTGTGCAGGGCTTTCTGGTGTTTCCCAGTCCATATGCACACAGCTTATCTGGTTGCTTAAAAAAAAAAAAAATCCCAAAATCTTTAAGCAAATTTTTTTATTGTCTTTGGTTTTAACTCTCTTGCCAGGATGCCACTTGGCATGTCTCTCTGGCTCTGACATGAGCCACCCTCTGCTCCCTGTCCCCAGGGAGGTGGTGTGCGCACACACACACACGCACACAGAAACACAGACACACACACATATTTTTCCTACCTTTAAGGTGGGTTAATTACAAAAGGTGATTGGCAATGGACCTGTTTGTGGCATAAGCAGCGGAAGACCATCTGCAAAAGTGTCCTTGCAGCTGGTGGCACAGCAAAAACTGCCTGGGTGGCAGCATTGAACAAGGAGAGCATTGGAGGGATGTGTGTGTATCCCCAACCCAAAACCCAAAGGAGGTCTCCCACTGAACTGGGACAGCACTGGGAGTGGGCTGGGAGAACCCATAGTTTGGCGCAGAGGCAGGTGTGTGGGACCAAAGGTGCCAGGAGCAGCCGAACCACCTCCCTCCCCCAGCCTGGCCCCTCCTTGGGTAAAGCAAGGAGGCAAAAGAGGTGGAGGATGAGAAGATTATTTATTTTTCATAGATTTTTATAAAAAATAATTATCAAATACAAAAAAATAAAAATAGCAGCAGCCTCCGTTGTGAATAAAACCCTAAAGGGGACAAAAACCGCTCAGTGTCGCTATAGAAGAACAATATTTCGGTACATAGAAGCTATCTGTTCATGAGAAGCACAAACCTCTGTCAGCCAAGCCAGTGCCTCCACCCTCTCCCCTGGTTCCCCTATCCACGGGACATGGCCCCTTCCCTGCACCCACTGGTGAGCAGGGATAAGCCATTGCTGAGACGAGGATTTTCACGCTAAAGGGGTAAAAATTTGGCATCTAAACACATAGGCATCTAGGTAACACTGACACGAAGCAGGGAAGGGTTCAGCATCACAAGATGCTGGGACTTGAAATTCTCCCATCTCCCTCTGTGTGTCACCCTCATCCCACGTCCCCACCAGTGGGGGGCTGCCAGGCCCCCTACTGCTGCTGTGCCAAGACCCCTGAATTTCCCCTTCCCTGCACTGGTGGAGCTGCCCAAGTTGCGCCTTCTGGGGGACATCGGGGTCAGAAGAGTCTCAGAGGGCTTTTCTTAAAATTTTCTTGTTTTTTTGATGGGGTTTTTTTGATTGAAAAATTGCTGTCAAAAAATTGCAGCGCTCTGCCAAAATTGACAGTTCATTTGGGTGAAAACCCCGGTTGTTGTCACCTGCGCATGATGGGAACAGAAATGTCTGTGTGTCCCTACTGCAGGAGGAGAAGGGGCCCATCATGCCCCCTCCTGTGGATCCCTGTCTAGGCCAGGGCAGGCAGGAGGTGACCCACCATGGGGCGATGGGCACACTTGGGATCAGGAAAGGGCTTGGAGAAGGTCAAGGCATCTCCTGCCTGGACGCTGGTGGGAAGTCCAAGCACCCCTGCCCCTACTCCTGTCCTCTAGCCAAACATAACGTTAGGAGATGCTTGACAAAAAGGGTGTGTGGGGGAGATAGTGAAAGCCAAAGGATGCCTTGAAAATCCCCAGTCTCTCCACACTGTGTCACCCTCTCTCCATCGCTCTTGCACTGGAGAAACCCTGGCTTGGAGCCTGGCTCCACTGGCACAGGTCATGCAGAGAAAACGCAGCCCGGCAGCCTTGGGTTTCTTGGTCCTGGGGCTGCTCCGGGGCGCACCGGGGTGTCCGTGCTCCTACTCTGTGGTCACTTCTCTGCTCTCCTCTCTCTATCGCTTTTCTCTGCCTCTTTGCAGCACAAAACCATCAGCGATAACCCCAGCTGGAGCCAGGCACCTTCCCTACCCGCTGCCTCTATGGGGCTGTGTCCAAGCTGCCAAGCTGAGCTTCTGGGAATCAACTATGGGAGGCAAAGTTTCTAGCTGGCTTCTTTGGGGCTAGAAGTGAATCTGAAGATTTTCTTTAAGTGCCTACAGGAGCAAGAGACTCGTGAAAGTCAGCAACTGTATGTCCACCGTGATGGGTTTGGTCACAGAGATAATAATAAGGAAAATCTCAATGTGAAAAGATGGTGCTCAAAGTCTCCTGACAGGTTGTTTGGGTCCTGTCTCTCCTTGCATTACAGGGTCTTGTCTCTTCCAAGAACTGCTGGCAACACTGTTGAAGCTCATGTCTGGAAATGACACATGGGGAAAGAAAAGAAGGACCACCTCATCGTTCTTCATTCAGAGCATCACGCAGCTACACTGGATTGCCCACTACATCCCTCATCTAGTTGGGTGTGCAGTGGCCAGGGTGAGCAAGGCAGAGAGGGACCATTGCATGTGTTTTCTCCTACTGACCACACAGCAATCCCCATGGATGTGTAACCCTTCCCAGAGGGCTCTAAAATAACTGGTGATGGGTGGCTGCAATAGCATTTGGGGCAGCAGTGCTCACCAAATCTGTCATGCTCATTGGGGTGATGCAAGGGCGCGGCAGCACTTCTTCTCAACCTCACAATCCTGACCCAGAACCTGAAGCAGAGCAAGGCATAGCACTGGCAAATCCCAAGGGCAAAACTTGGTGCCTGCAAGATGCTGAGAGCACCTTGAGGTCACAGCCTCCACGCCGCCTGCCTGGGAAGCTCTCTCCTGGCGTGGCCTGGGTGTTTGGCTTCTCTCTCTGTCCTCCTTCCAGCTCCCTCTCAGCAAGGAAAAGGAAATTCCCTGCTCCTCCTGCCCCGACCTGTGCTTTTCCCAATGGTTTGTACTTCACAGCAGCATGGGTGTGTGACAAAGGATATCCTTTCTCAGCTTCATCAAGAGCAAAGAAAATATAATATATATTTATATATATTATATATATATGTATATATATATAATTAAGTTTAAATATTTGCAGAGAGATCACAACTACCTCAAACTTGCTAAAAGAAGCCTGTACAGCAGAGGGGGGTAAATAGTGACAAAATCCAGAGCAAAGACAGACACCCAGATGCTGGAACAGGACAAACGTCCGTGGCAGTGCCTGGGCTCTCGGCGTGGACCCCAGCCCAGTGTGTGGCCGAGGCGGTGACGGACCCCTGGCTGAGCCCCTTGAGCGTGCACTGGGCCCCCGTGTCCCCGCAGGGTTCAGGAGGGAGCAACGATGGGGAGGGGACCACCACACGCCTGACCTTCCGTGCCGCAGCCTGCTGGCTACTTGGTGGCCTTGACCCATCCCCTCCATGCACAGTCACCATCCCCCTGCCCAGCTCTTCCTTAAACCTCCTGTCCCCTCACACCCCACCGTTCCCCAGCGGCCCCCATTGCTGCCCCTTCGCTCCTCCGGCGCTCGCCTGACCGAGAGAGGCTCTTCATAGTGCCACTACTGGTTCTCCTCGGCCGCTGGGTCACGGCACGTGCATTCATCCTGATCACAGTCAGCAGCAAACGGGATGACCTGGGGGGAACAAAGGGGGATGTAAGCCTCTGCTTTGAGCTTCCTGGCCTGCCAGCACCCCAAAGTCTCTGCAAGATCTCTCCACCCCAATACAGACAGACATGCTTTGGACTGCACCCTGATGTTGTTGGCATTGTGGAGATTGCCAAGCTCCACAGTTGCTGAGAAATGGGCTCTGATATGAGGTGTCCCTGGCTGAGTTTTATTCTTAGCGATTTCCTTTCTGTTAACTTGTGTTTCAAATTTTCCAACCAAGATTCAGCTTGAGTCTTGTGCCCCAAATGCGAGACCCTGGGGAGAAGTCTCCCCTGGTGGGTGTGAGCCATTTGGCCTAGGGTTGGCAGTGGTGAGGCATGTCTAAGATTTCAGTTTTACTTTGGCCCCTGTTAAAAAGCCCACCTTGTCCATGTCTGAGCCCATGGACCTGTCCTTCAAACTATTCCTGCTCTTCCAGGCTCAGCAAATCATGAAGGTAGCATAGCCTCATCTTCTGCACCTCTTGGAGGAACTCTACCAAGCTCCCCTCTGCAAAGCGTGGCCTCCATGCTACCTGATGTAGGAGCCAGGGTAGATGCTTACAGTTCTTATGCATTATGTGTTAAGAAAACCAAGGGAGGCTGGATGCTGTATGAGCAGGAGCAGTCTTTAGTGGAGCAGGCAGTGAGTCTGTCTAGGGTCACTCACAAGCTGTGCTGCTTTGAGACACCCCATGAAGGTAGAGAGGCTCATTACATATTGCTTTCTCTACAATAACTGAATGTAGCCAAGCAAGCTTATGTCACCTTAGCTGGTGGCAGCAGAGCAAAGTGGGAAGGCATCACCAGAGCATCTGGCTCCTGGTTGACAGTTGCCCAGTCGTGGGCCATGGGAGCTGAGGAAACCATTTCCTCCAGAGGTTTTATACAGACCAGGCTCAGAGCCAGGAGTTTCCCTTACTGTAGAAGCACATTTGACTTTTCACAGCCTGGGACAGTTGAGAGGCTGGAATCTGTTTCGTGTTTGAACCCCATATTCCTGCATTTGCCTTAACAGCAAAGCACTGGAGTCTTGTGCCACAGGAGATCTGGGACCTGTGGGGAATTCGAGCTGGGGCTGGGTCTCCTGAGAGCTATGGGACTGAATTTCCCCACCTTCCACTTGGAACCCATCCTTTATTTTGGCCAGAGATCCAGATGTCTCAGACCTCCTGAGAGCCATGCCTTGCTCCAAGATGTCATGATATCGCTGTGGAGGTTTCACTCATCACTTGGGTGTAAAGCCTTTTCTCTCCTATCTCAACTGGATCTTCCCAGGATTTTATTTTTCCTTTTCTCTGTGTGTGTATGCGTGATGAAAGGAAAAATGATTCAAGCTCCACAACAAAGATGACAAGATCCAAATTCACATATTTTTGCAGTGAGAAATTATCTCATGCCCTGTGATTTGTTTTGCTGTTGGATATGCTCAGGAAGGATGGGCTGTGAGTGCTGGATAGCAAGTTAGGTGGGAGGGGAGGTTGTGATGGGAGACAAAGAAGGATCTGAGAACCCCAACACCAAGTTGCTCCCTCTACACTATTCCTCCCTCCTTCCCTTCCCAGGAGAACTGGGAGGGAAAGACAGCCCACAGCAGAAACCAATGGACCAGATAAAAAATCCCCTTAGATTGCTCAATTAGACGACAAGGTGACTTCTGACTCACCATGGCTAGTGCTGTGCTCTATGGAAGTCTTTGGGACTTGTTTCCCAAAATAAGAGGGAATCCCGTGAACCTCAGTGGGAGTTGGGCTGAGCTTTCAGTCCTGCTGGCCCGGTTCCAAACCCCACTCTAATCAGTGGGATGAGGTCTATCAGCTTCAGCTGGCTTTGGTTTAAAATCATGTTTTTTTTCTCTGTTCGTGGGAGAATTGCATTGCAGGCTTGGTTCCACAGCCAGCAAAGCCAGAGACCATGGCTAGCAGTCACCACTTAATCCTAAATCCTGGCCAGAGCCACAGAAAATGCTCACTTACCTTCCTGGAGGACAGTGTGGAGGAACAGCAGTCACCCCCATCATACTGGCAGTATGCCCGGTTGTTGATGGTGTCACACCAGCCGTCTGCTTGGAAGGGCTAGGCAGAGAAATGAGTCGTTGCTGAAAGGGTTATTCAAAAGCGGAAAGTTCCCCCCAAAAGCAGGGATCCTGGGCTCTCGGCAAGGCCCCTGTGCACCTCTGACAAGGTTCAAGGCCTAGTTCAACCCTACACAACCCCCTCTTCAAAGCCAAAGGGTACCAGAAGACTGATATCCCAGCTGATGTGTATGGAGGAGTGAGTGTTCAGAGGGCAGCAGCTGTAGATCGAGGATCAGGGAATTGTATCAGGAAGCGAGAAAGCAAATCCACATTGCTAGGGAGGGCACCAACCTGAATGTCACAAGTCCCGATCCCCATCCCACTCAGTGCTTCACCACGTAGTCCAGTGCTACCCAACTAGGAGTGAGTTCGCCACCTCATCTGCTCGTCCACCTTCTCACACCACTCTCACTGTAATCCAGCTCTCTGCTCTCAGGCTGGGGCAGGGCTCTGTATAAGCTGATCCAACTCTTCTCTCCAACACCCCTCCTCCTGAAGAGCTTGGCTCTGAAGTTGAGCTTGGTGACCTGACTTGGGCAGCTAAGTGCCAAGAGGCTGTTACAAGGATCGATAGAGCATCCTGCTAGAGGAACAATCTCAGGAAGGCAGGTGCTTTATCTCCGTTGGACTATGAGAAAGGTTCAGCAAGGCCAAGAGTCTCCCAGAAGTACTTGCACTCAAGCCAAGCCAAGCATTGGCAAGCACTGCTTGCAAGGATTATTGCCTGTTACAGAATACTCTTGGTCTGGCTCTGGCCCTGAGGAACACGTCTCCAAATTCCTCTAGACTCTCCACTGGAGACTCTAGCCCTGTCCACAGCACATGGCTCCACCAAACCTTGCCAGGTTGGACTACAAGGCTACTTGTCTGATGGCCAGCTGGGACAAACAGAAGGGATCTTCATTAAGCACTTGCTCCCTGTACGCAAAATGCAACTCTAGATTGAGCAGAGAGGGCACCAGCCTACTGATAACCAGAAATATTGGCAATGTGGCCACATTCCAGCTTCAGTCTTGCCCATCTTCCTCCTTGTTTCTCTTCTTCATGGCCCAAATCCCACCCTCTGTAAGGTAATCGCATGGTTGAGTGATGGGGGATTTTGCATTGCCAAAATTATGGTGGCTCCTCTTTGCATGGCACAGCCCAGCGCCCTTTGCTGCACTGCCATGTCTGCCTGGACAACTGGGGATTTGCAGAATCCAGATTGCCTTGGTGCAGCTCAGATAAACGTTCCATCATTAACAAGCCTTCTTTACTTTCAGCTCTAATGTGGAAACAGAAAGCTATTGCAGCAGAATAGCTATCTGTCCAGAAATGTTAAATGGCACAAGCAGCCATTCAGAAATCCATTTTATTGTTGTTTAGTTACATGAATCAGCTGATCAGAGAAGAGAAACAAGCAACTGAGACTGAGAAGCAGCCAACTAGGGCTGAGAAACAATGCTGTGTGACTGGTGCAACCAAACAATGTGCATATGAAGCGCTTGCAATGAACTGTCAGGAACGATCTGCAGCCGAGGTTTATTTATCACAGATACACATCAGCACTGCCAAGCAACAACTGAATGTGCTAACAGAACGGAGATGCCATTCATTAACCAAGTGATTAGTAATGAAATGCTTCTCGCGCTCCAGGCTCTGTGATAGTAGCTACTGGCCCAGCAACCATGGCGAACCTCCAGGAGGACTGCTGTCATCAGAAAGGGCTTTTAGTGGAAACCTGGCCACCCTTTTGCTCATGGAAGCAGCCAACTCGTTTCACTGGATCTGGTGGTCCCAAATGACAACGGTGCTTCAGAAAATACCCGGACATAGCCTTTGATGAAGACTAGCTTGTAGCACACTCAAACCAAATGATAGCCAGCTGAAAAATGTCACTGGACCATGATAGCCCTGTATCCACTGTGCTAAAGACAACAACTGGTAATAATGCCAGTAATTCACTTGAAAAAGCTATGCCAACACCAGGGAACTGATGTGGCTTTTTGTCATCGTGACTCACAAGGAACAGAAATGGGCTCAGCGCAGGCTAGTGTCACTTTAGGAAGCAGCAGCAGGGATTACGGCAAACCACAAAGTCTGTCTGTGCTATCAGTGCCACAGTCCTTGGGCCAAATCCAGGCAGCCACAGAGAGATTGCATTTGTGCAGAAGATCTCGGAAGAGAAGAAGAAAGAGTACACCTTCCTACAGCTGGGAAATTGAGGCACGGCCAGGTTAGGTAGCTCACTCAAAACCAAGAAGGGATTTGGCTCCCATCATTGCTGTTGCAACCCACAGCCAGAGGAGACCAAGGTACAGTTTCACCAAGGCAATAGGATTAACACTCCTCTTCCATTGAAAAGCATCAGTGGGTCTTCAATGATGGTGATCAAAGAAGGTCTCCGAGCCACGAAGCAGCTTTGAGCACCGGGAGGGCCAGGGCAGGGATGCAGGCAGGGGACCGGCCCGGGCTGCTGGCAAGGAAGATCTCTTCTGTGTTTGATTTGCTTTTGCAGCCTTCCATGCGGTGGAGTTTTTCCTTGAGCTTTGCTCCATATGTCATGACTCACTGGCAAAACAACACCCGCCGCTTCTGTAGTTTCCATACAATTATGGGGGGGTTTGCCCATCCCGGCTGCACAGGTCTGAAATGATTTCCAGATATTGTGTGCAAGGTGGGGGGAGGACAGAGTTGGGGACAGGATGGGGAAGGAGAGGCTCTCAGTTTCTCTCTACACCTATTAGGGCTAATTGCCCCCTCCTCTCAACCTGCTGGAGCCCGTACCCCGCCCTAAACAAATACAGGCTCCTATGGCAACACTTGTTGGGGAAACTTAACAACTCATGCTCCAAATTACGTTGGAAAAGCATATGAAGGGAAAATAAAAAATGACTAATTGGACTGGAGGCTCAAGAGACCCAAGCGCAGGGTTCAGCGACTGCTGTCCTTGCTCCTCGCCCAGCGCCTGGAGAACACGGTGACTCCCATTGCTTTGCCTTGTCAAGAATCTCCAGCTGGTTTCATCTTCGCAAGCAGAAAGAGCAAAGTAAGGTGCTGGTGGGTCACCCTTGAGGGCACAGGCACCCTGGTACTTGCATCAGTTTGGTCTTGCAAGAGTTACGGCAAGGGAAGACACGGGCAACACAATGTGCAAAAGCAGGTGATGTGAGAGAGGCAAATCCATACAGACTCTGTTCACCCTGTGCTTGAGCCATGTGGCTCTACAAAAAGCAATGTCAACGGTGGAAGAAAGGAGGTTTGCCCATGTTGGTGACTCGCAGAAACACCCAATGATGTTTTAAGATGTTGGCAGGAAAAGAGAGAACACCCCAATGCCCAACCATGCCAGAGAAAGGATGTGATCCCAGGAAATGGCCAGCTGGGTTTCAGTCACCAGAATATGCATCCTCCAGCACAGGGGGAAGAAGGACTGGTTCAAATGGCTCAGATAAACCGGGAAAAAATGAATAAGGTAATTGCTGCAACTACTCTGTGCCTTGTTAAGTGCTAGGGAGCTGCTCGGCTAGGCAGCATGCCACCAAGGCAGCTAGTGAGCCGGGCTGTGTCAGCGAATCTCCCCACTCGCGCCATCCGTCTTCCTTGTTTATTCAGACAGGAGCTTCAGCGGGGCATGTGTTAGCACGTGGAGGTGCAGTATCTGGCACCGCTGGGCTCGAGCCCTGCGCTGCCGGCATAAAAATAGTAACCGCGAATCAAGTGCTTGGCAATTTAAATAGGCTAAAAAAACACACACTCTCAAAGCTGGGAATAGGCACGAATAAAAAGAGTAAAAATTAAGTTTTAAAAAAAGAGGGAAAAATATTGCAGGCAAAGGAGGGATGTGAGAAAGGCTGGTTAGATCCTGCTGCATCCTGGGCAGAAGCATCTTGGAGGTGACGTTTCTCTCGAGGCTGCTGGGAGATGCTGTGCGGGCAGCAGCGTCTGCACACAGCGTTTTTCCACCATCCCTGCAGAGTCGGCTGGCTCGCTCCCCATAGCTGGTGTCCTGCCCGGCAGGGAGCCCCCAGTGCCATTGGGGAGGCAGGCAGGGTCCAGCCACCTTTCTTTAAATCCATTCTATATGTAGGTTGATTCACTGTGAAAGACTGTGAAAGGGTGTAACAGAGTGAGGGAAAGACAGAGCATGAAGAATAAATCACAGATGCCATCAGTATCGTACATATTTTGCTGCTGCGTCATGAGCATTTGATGAACATTATTTCCCAGGAATGCAGGTTTTGCTCTGGTCGAGCAGACCTGAAGGCCCAGTACCTTGCTTTTGGCAAGGACCCGTTCCAGATGCTTCAGAGGAAGGTGGAAAAAAGAAAAAAATCAGTGTGCACCTGGCCAATTGTGTAACCAAAGAGCTGAAAGGCTCTCCTGCACTACTGCTGGGATGGAAAGTGCTTGCGATTTCAATCTGCCCATAGCTAGAGAAAGCCCAGATCCCCGGTTCAGAGGATCAAGTCCACCCGTAAAAAGCAAAATGTTTCCGCCAGCCTTCATGAGGCTGCACAGGTCCTGGGCCTTGCAACTGTGCTGATCCCATACAGGAGGATGCGTAGTTTGCTTTCATGCTGTTTTTCAGTCAGCGTGGATTTTACTGTCCTTTCATCGTTCCCTTTGGGCATTGACCTCAGTCCTTATGTGCTGAGACGACCACATGCGACCCTGCAGCTGAGGAAGTGCAGGTGTCTTCATCCTCAGCTGTTACTCTCAAAGCAGCCCCAGAGGAACAGGGGAACCATCATTTCAGCAGGGGAGACAGGCAGGGACCAGCCCTGGAAAAGCCGCTGTCCTGTCAGACCCACGCTTTGTGCATCAGCTTCACCACTGCTAACTCTGCTTTTGTGATGGATGAGTCTTTAGTGATGGAAAGATCAGCTGGAGGAGACAGGAGGAAGATGGCATGGCAGGGAGACAGGGACAGGGCTGGGTGATAAACCTCTGCTGGAGAAATGTCTCCCCTCACTCTGCGCGTGGTCTTCCAGGAGCCACCCCCTTGCAGGGTCTTCA